GCCTCAAGACCATGAGCACAAGGTTTATTGAGCTCTGCTGAGCGCAGCAAGAAGGAACAGTGGTAAAAAGCTCTGCCTTCACCCAGCTTTTTCGCCCATAGAAAACGATGCATAAACAACCGTAATAACAGTAATGGGAACAACTGCTTCTGCGGAAAGAAGCTGGGATAGGAAACGCTAGAGAAGGTTTGCTCAGGGAAGCCGGGGTGAGATGGTGACATTTGAACCGACACAAGGAGAAGATTCAACAGTGAAGCCTCTCGTTTGGGAGTGAAAGGGGCCGAGGGAAGGGGCAGGGAGGAGTTTCGCACAGAGCAGGCAAGCCAGTACCGTGGCGCTAAGGTATAAAGGTGCACGGTGTTCTCAGGGGGTAGAGAAGGTGCTAGCCTCGGTGTAGCAGAGCAAGGGGGCCGTGCGGACGAGGTTAGCATGGTCAGGGATTCGATGGAGTCCGGAAGGCATTTGTAAGGACCTGGGCGTTCACTCTGACCTGGAGAACCACTGCGGACCTTTCCAACAAAAAAGAATTGATAGGACCTAATGTGTCTCTCCCTGAGGGTGCGAGGGTGACAGAGAGGGAAGGGGGAGGGGACACACCAGCCGGCAGGGTTGCCCCTGTGGAGCGGCTTGGTGGAACCCGGAAGTGAGGGCTCAAGGAGAAGTGGGCTAAAAGAATGTTTTTGGTTTTTGCTGATGAATGGCTGTAGGGGAAAGAGAGGCTCTTGGGGCGACGGGTGACACCCATCAAAGCTTTGTCAGAATGAGGAGGGCCTGTCTGCCTGATTCCAATCAGAGTTTTCGCAAGGAAAGACAAAGAAGCAATAGCTGGGCACGGGGACAAAAGCTCGGGTGCCCTTTGGCCTTCGAAGCTACCTGCCAAGCCCTGAACCTCAAAGAAAGAGTCAGGAAAGGCAGAATTGAAAACACAGAAATAGACTTGAAAAGACTTGTTCCAAGTTTTCTCTCCCCTACCCCCTCTTTCTCACTTTTTTCTCTCCAAGTGACTGGCCCCCTTTGCATCTGTCTCTTTTGTGCCTTTTTCCCCTATATTCCTGCATTCCTGTATGCTCAGGCTACGACAGTCTGGATCTGACCACAAGCCCAAACCGTCCCCTTTGACACTTGCCTATTACCGGCTTAGTGGGGGAGAAGTGAAGGGATTTCCAAGGGGCTGTTTGAATGAATTAACAGCAGGACACAAACCTCGGTGTGCACAAGCCTCCGAGTTGTCTTACAGTACACGCGCGACTTCTGTTTTAGCTTGGAGTGACCCAGCCAAGGCTCTGGGTGACTGTGTTCCTTAAATAGTCTCATTCCCAAGAAGCCCTCAGCTCCCATCCTTTCCTTCCAAGCTTCCTGACCACCCCCTCACTGCACCCTCCTGTGAGGACACTCAGCTGGTCCTCTTGCACATCTCAGATCAAACGAAACTAGACTAAAATTGTGCACCAGGTTTGACGTAGGTGCCTCACGATCCGAGCCCTGTTTGCTATTTCCGAGACTAAGTACACAAATATCCGTAGCTATATAAAAAGACAACACCTTCAGGGTTTGCACCACAGCAAAGGATATTTTTAAGGCTGCTTCGAACCAGGCTAAAAAAAAAAAATATCACTCCGTGGCTCACCTTGAAAAGTATTCAAAGGTGTCTCGATTCTTTCTTGTCAGACACAAAGCTACGGTATGACAGTCTCTTACCCCCGTCCCTCTGTGCCCCCACCGAAATGTAGACCTAACACTTAGAGGCGATTCTGGGAGGATTCCCTGAAACTCAAGCACCAACCCAACAAACTGAACCAAGGAGACCTTGCTTTGTCGGGCTCCCCTTTCCACCTTCGGTAGTGTATGGCTGAGCATTGGAGGTGGCCCTTGCTGAAAACTAAACTTCAAGAGAAAACCCCTCCAGACAAGGGTGCCGTTCATCAGCACTCTGAATGAGAGCAGTCACCCGGGCGTTACAGTGGGACTAAGCATGATCAGGGGACAAACGTGAAAGGAAAGAAACTGAAGAATTCCTTGCCAGCCTTGGCAGCCTTGCTAGGCTGCACATGCGACTGAACCCCAAGAGAAAAAGGCCATAGAGCAGGTCCTTCTTTTCATAGCACAGACACCGAGGAAACCCACTGCTGCTGAGGAAATAGCGACACGCAAGATTAAGATGCACAGTACCCCAGCCCCACCAACCCTTCCCACTCTATCTGTCAAAGTTCTTGCAGAATTTGAGAAAAACCACACCAGGCATGGCCCACTCAGTGTTCAAAGATGTTCATGACAAAGTAAGTGGTTACACCCAGACGTGTTTCTGGGTCCATTTTTAAATCACTTCTCTCTGGCACATACATCCCCATACATCTTTTGAGCATGGGCAAGCCGTGAGAGGTGCTGGGAAGAGCATCTTGTCTGCTGTGATGCGTGACCTGAGGGCGTGATTGGAGCTAGGTTAGTCTACACGGGTTTGTTTCTTCCGCACCCTCGTCTACTTTCCTGCTCTGCCCCACGCGGTTTGAAAGCGTGTTTGATCTTTTTATTGCATAGGCCTCAGATTGATCTGAGCTCAAAGGTGGATCCCACACACACGCCACAGCTAGCCAAAGAAGCCCCAGGGAAATTGCAGAACCTCCCTTTGCCACTTCTGGGTACAAAACACATGATCTGGGAACTTCTTGAGCTTGTCTTTCTTGCAAAGTAACCCCCTTTAGGCTTAAGGTTGCAGGGTCCTAACGGGCACCCTCCCCATCTGCTTAGTGCTCAGAGAAAACTCCCAGCAAGCCAGGAAGTGCCCAGCATCTGCAGGCTGGGCCACCACCAGGCCACACCTACCTACCTACCTACCTCCTTCATATCCTTCCTTTCTCTTTTCTGTTCCTTTTCATGCTTGCTTTGACCTGCTCCTGTTCCTGGTCCCCAGAGTGTCTTTCCTTCACCCTTTTCTTTCTACAGTTTACCACAGAGATTAAACAGAAGCCCAAGTTCAACGCACTTGCCAGAATGAACAGCTGCCCGTTGCCTCATCCTTCCCATTCCTTGTGGCGTCTGAGTTAGTCAGTTCTCCGTCACAGTGACAAAGATTTGTTCTCGCTCCCGGCTTCAGAGCCTTCATCCCTCATCATCTGGTCCCTTACCTTGGGACCAAGGGGAAGCAGAACATCATGGCAGTGGAAGCCTGTGACAAAGGCGGGCACTACTATGCTTTGGAGTGCCAGGAAACAAAGAGAAGTAAAGGGCAAAAGCTAGAATCTGGTTATTCCGTACAAATTGAAGATGCCCCCCCATGCCATGTCACCTGCCACAATGTCACCACCTCCACTGGCCTACCGTCAATGGAGTAAGTCACGGATGAGGCCAGAAGAGGCGCTCACAGACACAGTGGGTGGCTAATCGCCTCGCTATCACTCACCCAATCAAGTCGACCATCAAAATGAGCTATCATGCACTCCGAGTCACATTCTAACCTACTTTCTGCTTCTCATTCCACCCCCACCCCCCATGCCTGGAGAGCACAGTTGTGCAACACACTCATGGCCTAGACTGACACCTTTGTACAATAGGAAATGTAGGTAAGGGCTGGCAAGATGTCTCCACGGGTAAAGGTGCTGGCCACCAAGCCTGACAACCTGCCTTCCATCTCCAGGCCCCACATGGTAGCCTCTGATGTCCACATGTATGCCATAGCATGCATAGGCCTTCCCCAGTTTAAAAAAAAAAAAAAAGTTTTATAAATGCAATGGGTTGAAACACAAAATAAATTTAAATCCATGAGCTTATAATGATGCTCAAAACACATTTAAAAAGGGGGGTGGGTGATTAGGTTAGTGGCCAGTGAAACTCTGAGCAGAAATGACCCCATCCTGTGTCACCTTCATACAGGCCTGTATGTGTTCTATCACATCATTCTAACCTGTCATGATTCCCATACAGGGGGAAAGGAGAGGCCTGGGTGCTCACCTGCCATGCCTAGCCTTGGAGGACGCACTCTCCAAGAGAAACATTTTCATTCGATTTGCTTCGAACTTTGAAAACACAGAATAAGATCCCCCGATAATATGCTGATAGGTAACACAGCCAACAACAACAACAACAACAACAACAAAAGCCCAGTAGACAATTGTGGGACTGAGGATATTTTGAGAAATTCATCATGCTGGATTCTAGGCAGTAATCGGTTTAAAATGAGAATCTTTTGTAGCTTGAATGTTCCCACGGAAGAAAATCAAAGATTAAAAGAGGGAGATGTGCCGCGTCCCCCTCACCGCTACACTTTGCATGCCTCTTTTGTGTGCTTACCGCATGCATTTGGCCATTAATTACGTCAACAACGAAGGGGAAACGAGGTGCTTCACTTGTGGCACAGCTGTTTACAGTGATTGCTTTGAGCATGGTATTTTTTTTTCCCCAGCACCTTTTCCCAAAGTGTCTCATCACCAACATGCTCGGTTGGTCATTCTTTGCCCTAAATCCCCAAATGAAATCAGTCGCCGCGGCCTTCTTGCTTTTGTTGCAGCTAACTCCGCTTCTCTGGAGAGCTGCGGTGTCTGTCCCTGACTCCTGCAAGCTGCAATAATGGCAAAGGCTTGAAACCCAAAGTCAAGTCGAAGGATGGCTGGGCTGGGCTTTCCTTCCCAACCATTGTCTGGAGCAAATCTGGGAGGAGCATCTAATTCCAAAGCAGCCCTGGTCTCACTGGGGATCTCAGTGGTCATGAAGGGAGATGCTTGATGTTTTCATGCATTTGTGAGCTCTCGGGAGGGGAGAAAGAGGGCCAAGTCACACCCTTCCCCTATGGTTCAGCAGCTTGGAGCTTGCAGCTCTCTGAGAACCGGGCTGAAGTGTCCAAAGAGGTAAGAAAGTGCCCTCCACATAGGTTGAAAGACACTGGGGATAGATGGGGTCTGTGGCCCCTGCTGTATTGCAGCCTAAGCGGAGAGGCCACAGCCCTACACTGACAATCCTTCCCCCTACCCCTCACTCTGTCTCTTTCCTGCCACTTTCTCTTGCTTCAGGGAGATTCAGAGAAAAAGCTTCAATTCTCCACAAGATTGCCAAGAAGAAATGCCAAGTGGATGAGAATGAGCGGCAGAATGGGGCTGCCAATCATGTGGGTAAGTGAGCGATATCCTTGTCCTTCCCTGGTGGGTCGGGGGGGTGACACAGAAAGACAGGACCCGGTGTGGGCACCCCTGACTCAATGCCAGCTCACACCCTTCCTCAGCAATGAAATGAGGTCCCTCTTCTCCACCTGGAGCCAGGCAGGAATGGGCATGTATGTCACCAAGGGGACACTAAGAAAAGTCCTTGGGGAGTAGTAATTCTAACCAAATCACCAAGTATTCTCTTCGAGAGGTTACAGGCTCTTGACTTCAGAAAAACCACCAAAGAAAGAAACACAGCCAAGTCATTGTTTAGGCAGTGGTGAGAGTTCTGCTTCTGTACCCTTAACTGGTGATTGGATTGTGTATCTATGATACTGCTCTGTGCACCACCACCCCCAAATTACCACTCACCCCCAACAGAATCCTTCAGAGTCCATGCCATTTCCTCTTTCTAAAAAAATCAGCAAGATCATGACTGGGGAGGTGGATCAGCGGATAAAGTGCTTGCTGCATACATGTGAGGACCTACGTCCAAATTCCCAGCACTCACGGAAGTGCTGGATGGGAGTAGTGACCCCACCTGTAATCTCAGCATTTAGAAGCCAGGGACCGAAGATTCCCCAGGGCACAAGAAACTCTGCCTCAGTGAATAAAGTGGATATCAACCTCTGGCCTCCATATACATGTGCTCAGGTATGCACCCCCCCTACACAAACACACATGCATAAACACATGTACACATCTGCTCACACCATACACATATACACAGGCCCAAAGAAAATAAAGTTAGGCAAAATCAGTCTAGGTCTGTCTTGGCTGACTTCTCTAGAACTCCTGTGTGACCAGATTGTGACATTCAGGCATCTTATTTTAACTTGGGGCATCATGTTCCCTTTCTCCTGTCTGTAACTATAATATAGCTCTCAATTCCAAATTCAGACTAAATTTAACCTAATCTGGATCCATGCTGTAAACGAAGCTATTGCCCAAGTGACTAAAATTATCTGCAGACAAATCTCAACAGTTTTGCCCTCAAAATACTCCATAGACGACTTCCTGCCTCTCCTACCATCCTGAATTCTAGCCCAGGCAAGAATTCAGCCAAGGAACAGACAAGAGTCAATTGGTGAATTTATGAAGAACGTGGACAGGAATCAGTTCAAATGTGGACCAGGATTGGGCTATGAATTACAAGGTTTCGCCTGACCCCCTCTGCTTCCCTGGGCACATTCTCTAAGAAGGAACAGAGGTCAAGTTTTGTGTCAAGGTCAACAGGGAAAGTTATTGCCTGGTTACGCTCTGGTTATTGCGTGTGAGTTTTGGGTTTGATTCCAAAGGCTATTTTTTTCTACTCCAGCTGTTGGTTTTTCTTTTGTGGGACGAAGTAGCTTGGAACAGAAGATTTTTGTGGCTGGGTTCACTCCCAGACCGACTCTTGCGGACTGGTGACTGGAGACTCGGATTTAATCATCCGTGACGGAACTCCTAGGAACTCCACTGCCGACAGGACCAGCAAAGGGCGTGGCGATCAAAAGGAGTGTGTGTGGAAATCTATGCTTTCCAAAGTAACCCCGGGATTTAGCTCCCTATTGTCTGTTATAGTAAATACTGTGGCTACAGACACACATTCAAGTTAGAGGTTGTGTCTGCCAGGAAGGCTTTTATTTCTCTGCGTCTCTCCTGGACCATCCAAACCTCCTGTGGATCCTGTGATTCTGAGATCAAGTTTGGCCTCGACAATCTGCTACTGGGCATGTGTGAGGTCTTTCATGTCCCCCAGATTCTTAGCATGTTTTGGTTTAAATAACTGAATGAAACATACTGAGATCACCCGACATGGCTACAGGCAGCAGGACATCCCACACCATTGACCAGAAGAGTCACTGGTGGATGGGGAGAATCCGAATTTCCATACTTTCCTGACCACCATTTGTGCCTCAGGACACCCCAACCGAACTCATGAGCATTTCTTTAGGATCTCCAGTACTTAACTGCTTCAAACCAAACATTCTGTATGTAGTTGTGATCCATCCAGTATAGGTGCAGGGGATGGAACCCAGTTCTCGGAAGGAGTAGTGAGTGCCCTTGACTGCTGAGCCTTCTCTCTGACCTCAATGAAAGACCCTCTACTTCACGGCCACTTAAGGTCCAGTCGAACCTAATGGGGCCCAAACACTGGCCACATGGAGGTGCTTCTCTTAGCCCTGAAAAGAATATCTTGCAAAAAGGCCATTGCGATGACAGAGATCCATATCCTTCCTTTCTGGCTTGTCAGCTCCGCCACGGCTCTGTTCCGTGTGCTTTCTGTACACTTTCCTCCCTCTCTGCAGAAGGGGCAGTGGGGGCAGCAATAGTAATGGTGGTGGTAGTGGCTGTGTTAGCGGCATGGAAATTCTACAGGTGAGGAAACAAATGTCACAGAGGTTGAGGCGTTTGCTGAGGGTCACGGAGTGTAAGCTGTGGAGTGAGAAACACAGGCCCATTTGGTTTCTACTGTCACAGCATCCCAGGGCCTGACCAGGGCCTTTGAGTCTCTTCTGCTTTCTCAGGAAAACATGACTGCACATGCTGATCTATGACCTCTCTCTCTCTCATCCTCTCTCTCTCTCATCCTCTCTCTCTCTCTCTTTCACTCTCTCTCTCTATTTCTCTCTCACACTCACTCTCTCTGTCTCTCCCTCTTTCTCTCTCTCTCTCACTCCCTCTCTCTTTCTCTCTCTCTCGTTCTCATTCTCTCTCTCCCTTTTTCTCTCTCTCTCACTCACTCTCTCTCTTTCTCTCCCTCTCTCTCTCTCTCGCTCACTCTCTCTCTCACTCACTCTCTCTTCTCTCCCTTTCTCTCTCTCATCCTCTCTCTCTCTCTCATTCTATCTCTCTCTCATTCTCTCTCTCTGTCTGTCTCTCTCTGTCTCTGTCTCTGTCTCTCTCTCTCTCTCTCTCTCTGTCTCTCTCTCTGTCTGTCTCTCTCGTGTCACAGGCTTGAGCCTTGTTTCTTGTCTCAGCTCCCCCTTGCTTTTCTTGGAACAGGACACCCAGTGCAGAATGTGCTATGAGTGTTCTCAGGATTGTAAAAAGAGACAGGTGGCCAAATCCTCCTTCCGGGTGCCCCCCTCCTCCCCTCCTGGCACTGGCAGTTTTGTAGCGTGGAGACTGGGAGTATTAGAACTGAAACCAGTGCCCGCCTGGCCATCAGCCACAATGAGCCATTCAGTTCACAGAGGAGACATCCCAGCCCAGAGGAAGGGAGGCCTGCCGAAGATGCCAGGCTGAGGGTCATGGAGCATCGCCTAGGTTATGGTACCGTGACCAGTTGTCCCTTGTGGGACGGGGTGTGCTGTCACACTAGGGATCCAGTTATCTCACAGTCTGTATCTAAATGTCAAAGATATGTACTCGTGTCCTTGCATAACCCGTCACATATGGCGGCTGACAGGATCTCCAGTGGTGTCGTGTGTGGTGGAAGCCGGAGCATAAGGTCGCTCAAGGCAAACGGTGAAACCCTTTACCAGCGTCCAACACCAGCGCGGGTCTCAGATGCCTCCTCACCTCCCGTCAGCGCTGTCAGCGTTTTAGAACATTCCTTCCAAGACGACCCCTTTCGCCCATTGGTTCTGATCGTTCTCTTTGTGTTTAAATTTATGCCACAGAGAAAATTGAACTCCCCAACAGCACAAGTATGGAGGTGGAGATGACACCGTCGAGCGAAGCTTCGGAACCCGTACAGAACGGAAACCTCTCCCACAGCATCGAAGCTACAGATGCCCCGGTATGACGCCTGAGCATGAGAGAACAGTCTGCTTGGTGGCCCAGCTCCCGGCTGTGTGGCCACCCAGGAGCTGATTCGTGTATGTGTGTCCTTCCTAGGGCCTCACTTGGGGGAACTCTGTGTGCATTGAGCAAACATGCAAACTGTCTAAGGGCGAGAGGAAGGGCAAGTGTATCTGAGACTGGAGATGAAGAGGCACAGGCTAAACATGACCAAGCTTGATAACTGTGTCTTCAAAGGCAGTGCTAAATAACAGAAATAACACAGTCTTCGCTCCTCCCTGTAGATCTCTCACCTCAAGGGTTGAAAGTCAGACTCTTTGGTCCCACCCACTGCTCAACCACAACCAATGAATTGTTCCTCCTAGAAGTAATTAATGATGCCTAGCATTTATCCAACACCCACTACTTGCCTACACATGGTGCTAGATACTTTAAGAATGCCCATCCTCAGACCTCCCAGCTGATGGTACAGCCACCGGTGCCTCCACGGTGCAGCTGGGAAAGCCGAGCTGGGTGAGATGAAGTGATTAACTGGGTGACCTAGTTGTGAGGCATGAGCTGAGAGCCTGTCTCAGGTATGTCTAAATGCAGCACCTGGTCTGCTTCCACCATGAGCACTGCATGTAGGCCACGGCTGCTCACACAGTGGGCAGAACCATGTGGTGCTTACTAGATATTTGGGGCTTGTCCTGATCCAATAAATCGGAACTTCAAAAGCATGGGGCCCTAGCTTTGCATCTCATCAGGTACCCTCCATCAAAGTTCTGCGACAGGGGCAATCTGCCCTCTGGGGCGGGGGATGTGGGGGGAACCATGTTACTTCTTACCCATTGCCCTGATCTCTAAGAACAATTTAGAAGGAGAGTCTCTCCGTTTATCTGAAGAGAGCCCAGCTCTGTCTGCCCTGTGTCCTCTGCCTTCCAGCTTCTCGCCCTCCTGCCCAGAGCCCTGGGCTGCCACCATGTCAGCTCAGCGATGATCTGGCAGAGAGGCTTCTGTCCACATGGATGAGCAACATGGGGTGGCAGGAGGCAAGCCCCAAGGACATCTGGCTGCCCTTGGGGCTGGCACGGTCACAGGTGTGCAGAGGAACACCTCCTCACCATGCCACTCCATCTGGCTGGCCGAGGGACATCTGTGTCCCTTTCAAGGGAGGACCTTGCTGCAGGGGAGCCAAAGACTTGCTGACCTCTGTCCACGGTGCTGCCCCAGGTCTCAGTGCCGGGAGACGGCACAGATTTGCGTGCTGTGCTGTCTCAAAAAGTCATTGCTGTCGCTGACTCCAGGGTGACCTGCTGGTGCGTTCCAAAGCCACAGGGCAAGTTGCCAACCTGACTGGGTGCTCCCTTCCTCCTCCTCCTCCTCCTCCTCCTTCTCCTCCTCCTCCTCCTCTTCCTTCTCCTTAAAGCACGGGTCCTGAAAATACTGCCTCATTGGTGCTATTGTGAGAGCTAAATGAGCCCTTGGCACTGATCCCCATGCTGTCCACTTACATCGGACGCCCAAATTTGCTGCTTAAACTGTATTCACCCTTCCTTTAAGTATTTCTTACAGGTAAACGTGTGTATACACAAGATATATTTAAGTCAGCCAACAAATGTTGGGTAGTTACTAATGTTCCAGAGTGATCATGGAGGTCTCTGTGCACTGTGCTCTGGAAGCTGCCAAAAAAAGAAGTTGATCTTAACTGGGGAAGATATGGAAACTGTGGGACATGTAATATGTTTGCTGGGCGTTGATGGACGGTAGGAAGTTGTCGCTCTGAGAGGAAAGAAATGGAATGGCGACCTGTGCAGGTATCTGAAAACTCATGTTTGTCGATTGCTGTACAAGATGGTAGAACTGGAGACCGGAAACCAATTTGAGGAGAGATACACGAGAAAGGGTAAACTAGCTTGAGGTCCTTCACCCACCCGTCAGATCAGAAGGCTCTCAGCGGTTCATCTGGATCAGACAATGCCCACATGTTCCAGCAGGGCTGAGACTGATGACCAGGGGGACATGGAGAGCCAGGGAGGGTGGGGGTAAAGGGGAGTACAGCGGCCCCTGGAAAGCCCCGCTGAAGAGGTATCCTTCAAACTGAGTGCGAGCCTCTGGAAGGAGCCTGTCAAAGGCATGGCACCGTGAGGGGAAATGAGTCCCGCTTGTTTGGAGACAGCATCCCTGTGGCGGCAGCAGTGAATTGTCTGAAAGCTAGCCTTCAGACAATGGGATGTTGGTTCTTCTTGGGCAGAACCAAGTCACTGGGCATCCCAGATGTGACTGGCACTGCCGGAATGCCCCTGCAACTGCATCCAGACTGTATTTAAAGCAATTGTGAGGCAGAGAGGTGCCTGGGGGTTTGATGGAGGGAAAAGATTGCTGGTGCTCAGATCAGTGCAGTAGACCTGGGGGAAGAGATAAGTGCCCATCGTGAAACGTGCTGTATGTTCAGTCCAGGTCTCGGGAGTGAGGAGCCTTGAAGGATTTAGGGAGCCACGGCAACCTTTGGATGTTTTTCAGGAGGATAGCTCATCTTGTTCAAGAAAGAAACAGGTGGCTGAAGATGTAGGTTGGTAGTAGAGCACTTGCCTAGCACGCACAAGGTCCCGGGTTCCCTCTCTGGTACCACAAAAATAAGGGGGGATGGTAGAATAGAAAAAGACAAGACACAAAAAAAGTGAGTCAAGAACACAGAAGCTAGACCCAGCAATACCACTTTGAGGTATATACCCAAAGGATGCTCAATCGTACCTCAAGGACACATGCTCAACTATGTTCATAGCAGCATTGTTTGTCATAGCCAGACCTGGAAACAACCTAAATGCCCCTCAACCAAAGAATGGATAAAGAAAATGTGGTATATTTACACAACGGAGTACTACACAGGAGAAAAGAATTGTGACATCTTGAAATTTGCAGGCAAATGGATGGAGCTAGAAAACATCATATTGAATGAAGTAACCCAGAACAGAAAGACAATTGTCATATGTACTCAGTCATAAGTGGTTTTTAGACATAAAGCAAAAAAAAAAAAAGCCCACAATTCACAATCCCAGAGAACCCAGACAACAATAGGACCTTAAGAGAGACATACATGGATCTAATCTACATGGGAAGTAGAAAAAGACAAAATCTCCTGAGTAAATTGGGAGCATGGGGACCATAGGAGAGGGTTTAAGGGGAGGGAAACAGAGAAAAATGTATAGCTCAATAAAATCAAAAATAAAAATAAAAAGAACACAGAAGCTTAGGGATTGTTGTGTTGGAGTCCGTAGGACGATTTGGCCTGTCGCCTGTGTCTACGTGACCCAAAGGGCTAGAATGGTTTGTATATTTCAAAAATGTTTTTGTGAAAAAGGGAAGCAGGAGCATATGGAACAGGGACCATATGGACCCCAAAGTCTGAAATATTTAATGTCTAGCCCTTTGTGGAGTGCGGGGGAGGGGTACTGCTTGTGCCCAATATAGACCATCTGTAGTCTTTAAAGAGAAAGCTCTCCTATACCGACTTGGCACGATCCTTGGTGTCTGTTGTTAAGTGAAGAGGCACTGTGCCAAGTGTATCCTAGATTGTGAGATACAACGGGAAGCTGATGCAGAAGGAAAAGAGGGGGATCAGCATGCAAGCCTTTGCTTGCGATGCTGCTGGAGACATTAGCTGTGTCAGTTACTTCCAGAGACTTTCGATATGTCCCCTTCTGCAGGTTTTGCATTTTGAACCAAATAATTGTGTTGCCTAGGCAAAAAAAAAAAAAATAGGGTAATAATAATAAAAATAATACTGGGTTAAATTAGGAACAGGGATGTTGCTTGGTAGGTAACATGCTGTTTCAGAGCTAGAATTGAGAAGCTATGACAGAAATTAACCATAGCAAGTAAACAGGAAAACGGGGGTGAGGGTGGACACTGTAGAGAAGGCTGAGGTTTCCAGACTAGAAAGACTGGATGGTGGGTTGAGCTAGGTTTACAACTCCAGGGCAAGAAAAAGCAAGATTGGCAGTCAGCGCTCTCTAGCCTCCTCGCACAGATTCGCAGAAGTGACTCAGCGTCTCTGCTTTGCTAGTTCTGTGTCTTTCTAAGTTGTGTATTTTTATCAAGTTCCGTGACAAGCGAGGTTTGCGTCCCCATTTAGTCGTGGAATTCTGAGCCCATGCTGCACACCCATTGCTGGTATTCTCCGAAGACTTTAGCCTGTCTCCTTAATTGCCTGATATATATATATATATATATATATATATATATATATATATATAAAACACCTCCACTTACAAGTTAGTTGATCTCACCTTGACACCTTGGCTCAGAAGTTTCACCAGCACAGACATTCCATGGCCCATGACTGGGAGGAGCATCTGAAAAAAATACCCTCATGGAGCACACAAGCCCTGTGCGGCAGAGTCCCTGCTGCGTGCTAATCCGTGCAACTGCAGAGGAACGCAGCCTTTTCTACACTTGAGTACTATTCTCTTCTCTTCACCTGTCCTCCCAGTGCTAGACAGAGAAGAGGACCAGAGCTGCCGTAGATCTGCATCCCATCCACATTTCCAGTGTGGATAGTTTCCCCAGGCATAGACAGACACTAACCTTTTCTTACATTTGAATTTTGGCAGTCTGAGGAGAGCTTGCCTAGTGCCATGTGAGGGACCTCTGGATAAGATCCCTGGAACTGGGGATTTGAGGGGACCACCTAGCTGCATTTTAACTTTGCCAGTTTAGACAACACCCAGGTATTGGCCCTTGGCCACATGCCCTGTGACGCTGCCTCTTTGCTGCAGCTGCATGCTCACTATTGTGATGCAGCTAAACCCTGCAGATACACTCAGCAGAGTTAAGGATCTAGCTAAAGAACTCCCTGGTTTAAATTGTGCCTGCTTTTTTTTCTTTGAGATAGGGTCTCACTATATAACCATACATAGCCTGAAACATACAGAGATCCACCTGCCTCTGCCTCCCTAGTGTTGGGATTAGAGGTGTGAGTGATCATGCCTGGCAGTGCACCATAAAGCAATTATTTTC